TTAAAAAAAAATTTAAATATAAGGAAATATACTAACAAAATATCTTGAATACATATAATCGATATATAACTCTAATATAACTGTATTCTGGATCTATAACTCCAGACAAAATGTATCCCGAGGCCCTTCATCATCTAGAGAATGCCTTTCATTTGCAATTACGTCAACAGCTATATTCAACCGCAATTACATAGTTTGCCTCAAGACAGAAATGATGTGCACATACACAGTAGCCTTTCAGCCATATTTCTAAAATTATTTGGCCAATCATGCTATTAATTGGGTCCCTCGGCTAAAAAAACAAACATGTTTGATGTTGCGAAGACAACTGAAACACCTATCAAAAAAAAAAACCCATATTGAGATGATATCCACCATCCTTGGCATTTCATATTATTGGCAAGACATCAAACTATCGATAGTTTGGAATCTTTCAGTGATTTGTTTTCAATGTACAAACTGTATTACATTTTTTCAGTTTAAAATTAATATCTCAACTTAAATCTACATAAGACCTACTAAAAAATTATTTAATGTTTCTATTAACAACTCATCCACCTCAAAACAAAAATAACTGAGGTTTAATTACTAATTTTTGGCATTTAATATGAGCTAGTAGGTAAAATCCTCTAGAAATCATCCTCTATCATTGAATGCATATGATCCAGACCTATCTATGTTCTATCACAAACCAACAGTTTAGCTTCTCTACCTTAGCTCAGAGATTTACTGTAACAGTATTAATTATTCACAGGGTTTTATTATTATAAGTTAAATCAGCTAACTAAATAACAATAGAACAATTGTTTAAATAATAAAACTTAAAATAAAAATATGATCAAATATCAAAATTGTGAAATTAAATCCAGTGTAAATTAACAATTAAATTACAGTTAATTAATTACGTGCGCTAACAACCAAGTGATGTTGGAAAACAAAACTTACCAGTAACTTCTGAAGTCTGCGGCGGTTCCTCGTTGATGAATCCACAAACTCGGCAGATATTTCTCACCCATCGAAACATATCATCCTCTGTTTTAGTCACAAGGTAATAAGTCCTTTTACTTGTCACAATATTAAAAATGTGAGCGTTTAACAAATTTCTTCGGTTCTCGAATTCTAGTCCTTCGATGACTTGCTCACATTTACTGAGGTCGATTTCCCCTTTGGGTCTCGTGGCCCATTCATTTTTATAATACTCTAAATAGTAAGTGGATCCACGTTTCTTCAACACACACCATCTGTCCTTCCAAAATTTCTACAAAAAATAGATTCAAGTTTTTATGTTATATTCGGTGGCACTAACAAACATTGGAAAAATTAGGGATAAATTAGGGATAGGGGATATACCATTCAACAAAAAGTTGGTTAGGCTAAAAAAAAATATTGTTTCAAGTTCTATGCTGTTTTAACTTTTTTGCCATTTCTTTTTATCTTCACAATATTTTGGCAGAAACCAAGAAAAAAAAATCATGGGAAACCCCTTTTGAGCCAATGTATGCCAGACACAAAAATGACTTCTTTGGTTTGCCTTAGAATGACAAAATTGTGATGCCTACACATAGAATATGCAAACAAGTTAGTAATTGTGACATGTATACAATTTAACAACAGCAATAAATCTACAATTATCATTCAATAAAAAAGGACATGTCTTTTTATAACTGAACATTTCAGAACAGTAATTTAATAATCCATGACTACCATTATTCAATAATAGCTGTTCATCTTGCTCTTTTCAGTTTCTGAAAACTTTGCCTTTTTTACCGAAAATGACACAGAAATATTCACTAAAATTAGAAAAAGTTATCGTCATGAAGTCAATTGGGCAGACATTATTAAAAACAACATTGACAACAATTTTCACCAAAATTAGAAAATTGAATGTACCGGTAACATTACAAAATGAACAAATCTGACGTTGGTCCACCGACAACACCAGCATATAAAATATCAAAGCAATCAGGCTAGCCATTTTCAATAAGAAGTCAACAACGGAGCTAAAAATGGTATTCAACTTTTCTTTAACTTTAATAAACAGGATCTATTTTTTTTTTCTGTTTCATAAACACTTGAAAAGACATTTCCTTGTTATACTAAAATATATTTGGTGCTATATGACAACATTTGCCAGAAAAAAAACAAAAAAACACAACAACAAATCCCTGTGTGTATTTATATCACTGATTTTCCCCAGCACCAGGAAATAGCTTAGAAAACATAGATTTCAACTTAAAATAATTTAACATGACTACCGGTAATATGACAGATCTGCAAAAAATCATTATTAGATAAACTAAAAGGTAAGTATGTAACTTTTATTATCAGCAGCTTTCCCACCAAAGAGCATCAGACAAATAACAGATCAGAAATGCCTGGGGATGTTTCGACTCACTCATAATGAAATATTATAATCGTCAACATATGGATATGACACTCTTATAAACCTAGGGCCTCCGGATAGAAAGATATGAATAATATTACATTAAGAAAATGGATGAAGCTACAAGAGTATGGCAGCTGGCAATTTTGAAATATAATTATTTTTTGCTGTCTAATGGGAATTCAACGGAAATATAGTATTACTATCATATAATGTATCACAGGGTCTTCAAAGATAGACAAGACTTAGCTTCTTCACTAGTTGAAGATTCCTTACAGGAATTACAATGCAAGGACTGTCCAAGCTAAAACACTTTTGCGGACAAGAATTTCGTGAAACTGAATAATTCCTAGTGTTCAGCCATTTTGAAATTAACATTTTTAAACCCAAATAGAAGCCGAAGACATTGTTTTCCATTTTCACGCAGCAAAATTTGTAGTGCTTTTATAATTTCCACATTTTAAGTAACTTCTACACTGTCCATTCTTAATCATATTTTCAATTCTATGTATTTGGTACAATGTAGTTTTCACTAATGCATTAAATCTAAAAACAGTGGCACCCCCTTTTGAGAGTAAAATTGTTGTGTTAGTGATTATGATTCAAGTGTTTGACTTTAAAGGTTTATTACATTATTATGGTTGGGAAATTAAACAAGATGTTCAAAGCAAAGGAGAACATGCACAGACATTGATGAATTACAAAGTTAATATTGTAGAATTTGGTCCAATAGTTATACATTTACAACGTGTGCATAAGAGTTTGTGCCCTGTCTCTTTTGCTACATTCTTGATTTTTAAAAAGCCCATTTTATACTCTATTTATCGATGTTCGTTTTCTTGCAGATACAAAGTAATAGTTCTCTTTTGTAATTAGTGATAAGACAATTTCCGGGAAACTATTGTGAAGACTGGTTATAAATTTGTTTACAACATGAAGCCTTTGAAGTGAACAAGCAACTATTTTAACACATGTACTGGTATAACTATTAAAACATAAAAACTTTTTGACTTTTGGAGATGCACATCTAATAGAATATGGTTTTCATATTTTTCTTTTATGAATGCTATTTGATATTTTATCATGCTAAGCGTTACCATTGGTTACCGGGTAATCTACATTATCAAATGATTTGGCACCCTGGACAAATTGAATCTCGTTAACAATTACATGTGTGTGTCAACATACCTAGGAATTAATTAAATGTAGCTCTTGCAAATGTGTTAATGTGCATTTCACACTGTTTATATTATCAGCAATGATGGCAAAAAAGGGGAATAGAGATTAAGTGGTGACATTTACAGGGGCTATAACATACTGTTTGTAAACAGCATTACATTCAATGTTTTAGTACTACTGATGCAGCCAATGATGATGCAAGGTCTACCTATCATTAATAAAAGCTGTAAACATACAGAGATTGCAGTATAATTTTAAGAAGCGAGTCCACAATTATTATTTTAAGAATCAAAAAATCATTCTGTACATCTTTAAAACAAATCATGAGATGCGGTAAATGATAACGCATAATAAATACATACTAGCTTTTTGATGTCAAGAAGTCATCAATAGGTACACAATGAATCACTACAGCCACCAACAATATCAGCACCACAAGGGTTTGAATCTGCAGTACTCATTTGCATTAAAAGAATCACGGATAAAAATGAAGACACGTTTTTTTTTTTTTTAACCAGAATATGTGGTCTCCTTTAATAATAGTTATGGAAATCTGATTATAGATGTTATGCACTTAATGATGATTTAATGCTGAACTGGATGCGGTTAGACAAAACTAGCTTCACTGTCAATGGTGAATCATTAGCATAACAATATGTGTACTGGCATACAAATAGTAATAACCATTCACACCACAGGGCTTCACAAGTGCAATCAAGGATGTATCTCATGTAAATTATTATTAACTTGTATTACAGAACTTGTAAACATGCTGAAGTGTTGAATAAATGCACATCATCCACATTATAAATTACCAATAATGACACCACAATAAATTACTGTGCACAAGACAACATATTAGTTTACATTAGTGCACATATTACGCTTGTGATGTTAATTTTTGTTGGCAACATCAAAGAAGTGAAGGGGCAACAGAACTAACCTGACCCCAGGATGTACATGAGGCTATAGGCACTCCCTGCAGTGAAAAATGCAGCATAAATGAAGCCAATGTCAAGAATCAATCGTGGGAAGATCAGCACGACCGTGTTTATTTTTAGCAGCAAAGTCCAAATGAGTTACATGGAAAAGAAAAAAAGAAACGCCGTCATGGACGATGTAAATTGTTCGCTACAGCAACACAAACATGCGCAACATGGATCACAGACATTTACACTACAAAAAATAAGAAGGAAACATGTAGACCTGGGGTCAGCTGTCAAATTGCGAATGCGTCAAGGGATGAAATGAATACCACAACGTGAACCGTAAACACGGGCGTAAAAGGTCAAATATGACAAGAACTGCGGAGCGAATTATGTTCAAAGGATATTGTATTACGTCACATGTGTCGTGATCGAAGGAGTCTTGGACGTTATTTTCTTCGAGGGGTGGTTCGAAAAAGCAATATACTTGTAATAAAACAACGTAACAATAACGGGATCGAGCAAAAAAAATGGCGGGTGGGTGTATGAACACATGAAAAAAAGACGAAACAAGCTGATGAAAAACAGATCCATAGACACTGAGACAGTCGAGTTCGTCATTGAAGCCCCAGACTAGTTATTGATGAAAAACAATTACACTCACAGTAATTACACGGAGCTTGAACTCACGAACATGAACGTTATGGAATGTTATGACAAGTATTTACATTATAACTACATTGCAGTTTACATTGTCGCTATTTAACGTACAGCACTTCAAGAAACACAACACTCACGAATATTTACGAATAAAGTATTGCAAACTTTATACATACCCAGATCGACATTTTAGTGGCGGGTGGCGATTTTTTTAGCCACCCTGTACATACGACGTCCGCCATCACTACTTGGACTATCGGGTTGTATTATCTTCAGGAAACATGGATAGTCGTGATGAGTCTAAAGCTTGTTTTTGCAGACGGAAATCAACTATGGTCTCAAACTTGCAAGTAAGAGTTGCGTGGGTTATTATTTTAATGGCCGACGCTATCTCGTCGATCACAGCAGCGTTATTCGACATAATGATGGTGCTATTACTTGTTACCTCTTGGCCTTCATTTATAATAATTCGACTTTTGAAATAATTATATCTCATTAATTATATATTCATATACAATTTTTTAAAAGTTGTATTTAATTGTTAACGAAAATATTTACTAAAAATGTAAAGTCGCTCTCCAAGGTGAGACAGTAGTTGATTGGGCGGACGCTGGTGGGCGTTCCCGGTAGTCGTTCAATTTGTTTACTTCTACCTGGCTTCGAAAACGTAAATTATATTATACTGTTTTTATAGCTATGTATCAGGCAAACGAGAGTAAACTATTTGTTGTATAGACTGTCATTATATATTCAGTGAAAACATATCAACAACGGTAAAAATTCAACTTCCGGAAATAAGTTTATTAATATTCGACCAATGAGAAACGTGGTTATAAAGTAAGTTTGGTTAACAAGCGACAGGAAGTAAGCTTATTGCCGAGTGTATGTTGTTGTTTGCTATAGCCTAAGCAAAGGTTATTCTCCTGCAAATCTTGATTGTTTCGACCGACAATGGCGTAGTATGGGAATACTATTTCCCCGGCCCTGGGTATGTGAATCGTGTACGTTACAAAACGAGTCTGGGGTAAACGAATGCATTGTCTGTGGTGCGCCCAGACCGGGGCCGAGAGCTGAAAATTGCACGCCAGAACCGGATGCAAATGACCGTGATGAGGTGTTGTTAATTTGGGACTGTGACGTATGCCTGACAAAGAACAATGGCAGTGAAGGGATATGTTTTGCATGTGGGCGACGTCGTGACCATGTTGATTCGGGAACACTGAATGAGTAAGTATCACCTTTGTGATCTGGGACATGTGTGGGTGTTCCGTTTTCGTGGCATCAATGTTGACAACTTGTTGGGACCTGTCTTCCTAATTACCGAAAACGAAACGCCAAATGAGGGCACGATTACGTCCACGATGACACGAAACTGAAACGAATTCCGGCTCTGATTCGCTAGTGTAAACACTTCTAAAAAGTTGATTTCGTGTTTATACTAGTTAGATACAGGGCGGCGGTGGTCACTCAGCACCGGTACGAATCTCATGTAAATTTGTTTTACCATGTTGTGCACTCGCATGGGACCCTTATCGATTATGACGTCACGAACTTTGCTCTTTAAATATTAAAAATTAGGATCGAATTGCCGAAATATTTCCTGAACAGCCCGAGGTTTCAAGTAGTCGAATAACTTTACATAATTTTTTCTATTCCATGCTTCCCCTGACATCTCACTGCTGTATACAGAATAAGACTCCAATACAAAGACACATCCACAGCTCCTTACACTATGGTAGATAGGATATCATGCATACAATACTTTGTTTACAAATAAATTGACTACATGATAAGTGGGAAAGTTTCGGATTACATTTTGATGTATTATTTCCCAAATCTGTATTGATTGCCCATAAAGCATCACTGAAGAGAAAATTAATTCCACCTGAAAAAAATCTATTTACAATAGTTGGTTCTCCACCACTTTCCACAATGGTGTCTATGGTAATCTAATACTAAATGCTTTGGACAACATTGTTTACATTATTAGTCTACCTTTTATTCTCCATTGTAAATTTAATTGTGTTTAACTTTGCTATGATTAGGCTATACTGGAGTTACCTCTGCCTTTAAACAGTATACCCCGGTACCGGTACTACTTGACCCCCAAATTGTTTCTTTTTCTGTTGATATCTGTCTTGTGAATGCCCACAACATTCATTCAACTTTATTCGTAAAGGCTAGGAAGAGATCAAATCCGGGGGTGTGAATACATGTAGCCAAATGTATTTCCTGGAAAATGTGAAAATGTGTGAGTGTACATGGAAAGGGAGGGAGCAGCATGTATGCAAAGGATACTGACTAACAATATCCTGCCTGGGAAGTGTGAATCAGATTTCAGAGATTTTAACTTATTGCATATACTGTAGTTAAGATTGGCATGATGTCTTTCTCTCTCACTTTGGACAGAAATGGTACTGTAAAGAACCAGAATAAAAAAGCAGACATCAACGTACCAGATGCTACGAAGTGCGACGTAAAACCAAACATGGCATCAAATGAATCTAACTGGAATTGTGTGCATTGTACATTTGCCAATCCACTAGCCTCTACTGTCTGTCACATGTGTGAAACACAGAGGAACGTGAACCAAGTCACTCAGAATGGTTCATCCCCAACACCTGAACCAATGGAAGTTGATTTGGTTGCAGACTCAGAGGAAGGTAAGACAGACTCCTCTAAGCATAACATTATCCCATCTGTCTTAGACAATACTAAACATAATTTTACAGACGATACTACGGGTACTTGGAAATGCAAGCGATGCACATTGGAGAATGCTAATAATGAAAAATCGTGCAGTGTGTGTGAAGCTCCCAGAAAACTGTCATCATTACCTCAGCTTTCAATAGACTCAATTCGGTTGTCAAATGAACCTACGAAAAACATTGATCGTTTTGGAAATGCACAGAAAACATCACCTATTGTTAAATCACCTAAGCGACCAAAAGAAATTATAGTTAAACCGACTGATGAAGTACTCCCGACCAGAAGATTGAAGGCTATAAAGCCTAAGCAGGAATTGAAAAATGCGACTGAGCCTGTGGTTATACCATCTGACATTGAACCAGTGGTTGAAACTGCTAGCACATTAGTCAATCTCACAAAAGATGATGTAGAGACTTCTTTCTGAAGCCTGCGTCTAGCCTTCAAACAAAGCAAAGTGCAACTAATAACTCTCAGGCGGCCTTCTGGACATGTGCTAGTTGTTCTCACAAAAACAAGGGAAAATACAGCGGCAAAGCATGCAAAGTGTGTAAAGCTCCTAGAATAGCCAAGTTGAAAATTCCATCAACATGTCAAACTCCCTCTGTAATAGATGTGGACATTGAAAACTCGAATAATGTTTTAAGTGAACATAAAGGCACGTCAGAAATGGATTTTGATGTAGGTTCGTGTAAAAATGAACGCATGCTGGATAATGCACTGAATAATATGTCAGATAGTAAGCAATGCACTGATCACAATTTACTGGAGGAGAGTGACGAGGATTCAGCGACTATTGATCTCACACGAGAATCTGTTAAATTTATACCCAAATCTCCAGGTGGAAAGATTGCACGAGTGAATGCTGTGAGAATAAAAACCTGGAAATGCAAAGCTTGCACAGTCATGAATGTTGATGATGCCAAAGAATGCGCTGCTTGTGGAATTGTGAATGCCACATCAAATGCTACAACACCGCTAACGCCACTTTCCAATGAGTGGCCTTGTCCTGTTTGTACCTATCACAACACCAATCTTGTCAACGTATGCTGTATGTGTCAGGCCCCGCATCCTGATTTTCTCCCCACTGTCAATCTTTCACCAACAACTCCAACTGCCTCCACATCGATAGCAACAACAGCAGCTCCTATTGGTAAGAAGTGGGACTGTCCGCGATGTACTCTGGAAAACTCTACTAAAAGTTCAAAGTGTGTTTTGTGTGACTATGACCCTGCTGATACAAAAGATGTGGAATCTGATGGTTTATCTACAAATATACGTCGAAAAGCATTGTTGCTGAATCCAAGAGAAAGAATGATGAGGAAAGTGCCTGGGAGAGATTTTCCAAAATCATTGGTTTCTGCTCACAGGTAACTCACAGCTCATGTACACTATTATTTTGCCACTTGTGTTATTTGTCAAAGTAAATGGTGGTGGTCGCCGCGCCGTGAAGTGTGAGATTTATGTTGATAAATATTGATTTTCCCACAATCCAATGCGCTTTTTCTAATGAAATCACAAGTATGAGTTTTGACCCTGGCAGGACTTACACCAATTACCGTTTACGACTCTTTTGATACCTTCCAATCATCTTAAAAAATACCTAATTGAAGCTTGGTAACAGTTTAGTTTGTACTCATCAGTCTACACAACAGTCAGTCAAAGTCGCCATGTGAGACTCGTATCTTGCGCATGATGACCATTGCCCTTTAACGTTTGTTACCCGCATTATTATGCGATATAGCGAGTGGCAGAAATAGAATCTCGTCGTTGAGCGCAAACAGCACAAAATGATTTTTCGTCAACATTTTAGGCGGCTATCTCACATTGCATTATTACTACAAGGAGGAAATAGATGTATAATACTAATAAGATTATGCAATTAAATGTGACTAAAAGTGGATCTCATCCTGTCAGTGAATTAGTGTTGGCCAAAATTTATACATGGGACATTGCATATGAAATAACTGAATTTTAACATAATTAGTTTTTCTGTGTATTTTATTATACAACCGTAAAACATAATACATTCTGGCAATCAACAATTTTGTCTTTGGCTACCTAATTTACCAGTTGGCCACCAGCAGTTTGAATTTGGTTGCCAATGGCAACTAAGGAAAATTAATTGAACTTTGTGAGGGCTAGTGTGTCTATATTTATAATGTGAATAGATAAGGGTCATCTATGTGAAGATGTTAAATAAAACATGTGTTAAACGTAAAATATCTGAACTCTCATGTATATATGGTGTTATTGTTTTCATATAGGAAAAAATTCCATTTGTGGATGATTCGTTTCGACCCACACCCAAGTCTCTCTACTATAATCCTGAAGAACGTGGTGAAACTAGAGTATGTCAGTGGTTGAGACCTACAGAAATATCTTGTTCAACTAGAAGTGAAATGAAAACACCGTGGGCTGTCTTCCGCACTCCCTTTCCATCAGATATCTCGCAGGGAATCCTGGGTAATTGCTGGTGAGTTAGCATTTTTGCTGTTCATTTTAAAAAAACAGGCCGTGTGTTCATGTTGCCAACTTAGGTGGTGGTAATAGTGACCCACAACAACAAAAGGACTCTCCAGAGAAGTCAATTAAATGAACTTAATTACTTCACTACCAGACTTTCTCGTCCAAAAATTTTCAGCACTTTTTTTTTTTTATTTTTGCAATATTTCTGGAAATGAACCCTAATTTTGGAGCCAACAGACACAATTTGAGTCAATTTTCATTTTTTTCTCAAATAATTTTGGTATTTTGTCTCAATTACCATTCTGAGCTGAATATTTTGGGAAATTCGTGTACAAACAAGAAATAGATGCCTTAGATAAAGATGTATCACATTTGTTCATGTACAGAAATTGTCTGGACGTTTTTGCTATTTTGGAATATTTCATCTAATTTATTTGATGTTTATTCTGCTTTCTGATATTTAATTGCATAACAGCACTCATTATGAAAACAGTTGTTCTATAGAATTTATTCTTGTCTGCATATACTACACTGCATCAGGGCTGTGTTTGGACTTGTGAGCAAGGTAGCTGACTACCAAATTATTCTTAACAGAACTGTTCCAAAGTCCAGTAGATGGAATCAGCTTAACTGGTGTTATCATCCCTTCTAGGTGATTCTCGTTGATAACGATCTAATTTCAAAAGCAATTAAGGTTTTTCAGCATTTTACAATGTTTTTTACATTTACAATAAATATTTATTAATAATAAATTAATATCATTTGTATCCAGGATTTTTAAAATAAATAAGATGCAATTTTGATATCTATATATGTAGAGTGATATGCAATGATACTATTTTTTTTTAGTTTCATGTGTGCGACAGTTGACCTTGATGGTGTTTGCTCTACTGTGAAATACTTTATTTTAGCTGGAATTAATTTTCACTGAAAAGAAATTTGGGGTGTTTTGTATGGAATTTACTTTCACTGAAGTTTGAGTGTAAAATATAGAAAAAAAAGATGTATTCGCTTGATTTTATTTTCACTGAATCATTCCTTCAGCAAAAATGGCGAAAATTACTTCAAGTGAAAATAAAGTATTTTACAGTGTTAGTAGTGCAGATATTTACTTAAATGACAGTGGTATATCTGCAACCAATATAACTCATATTTGAATATTCCAGTCCAAAATTAATGGTTTACATTCACTTCTATTAGAAATGCTCTGCGAATAGGAACAATTACAATGTACCATGTTCTCAAATAGCCCCCAAGATTTTGTTGAGAGGTAGAGTCACAAGTTTTGTTTTTGTCCCCTAGATAGTCTTCCATTCTCAACTGTCATCATATCAGTTACATTTGAAATTCTGCAAAAAAATACTAGGTGTAAGTAAATTCTCCTCTAATGCAGCATGCAGAGCTGAACTTGGTAAATTTCCATTACTTGTAGATATTCAGGAAAATCTTATTAAATACTGGTATCGTATTAGTGCTTTACCAGACAGTAATATTACAAAACAAGCTTTTGAAGAACAAAAACAACAAAATTGAAATTGGTTTACATCAGTAAAAAACATGATCTCTGAAAATATTACAAACTTGTCCTCGTCTGTCATACCTCAAAAATTACCACACAGTAAAATAAAAAACATCCGACAAAGGTATGTAGAGTTCTGGAAGTTGAGTGATAATAGAAAACTAAGAACGTATATAAAGTTTAAAGACTCGTACACTTTTGAACCATAATTGCTCTTATGTAATCTGAAACATAAAATCATAATGACTCGTTTCAGAATAAGCAGTCGTGTATTAGAAATTGAGAAGGGTAGACATACCCAACCCAAAATACCTTTAGAAGACAGAATCTGTAAGCAATGTTCCCACGATCAAAATTGAAAATGATGAACATTTCTTCATGGAATGTACCAAACAGAAAGACAAAAGCTTTTTAATAATATCAATATTCTAGAAGAACTGAAAAGTGATAACCAGATATTTAAATATATTATGAGTTCAAGAGAAGACGTACTAATAAGACAAGTTGGTGAATACTTATACAAAATATTTGAAATCAGAAATAACAATAACTGACATTTTACTTTTACTTTAGTTTTATATGTATTGTACTTTATTACTAACATTTTATTGCTGTCAACCAATGGAAATTATTTCTAAGGATGCAATAAATTCATTATTATATGTTATTATTATATCCACTGTTCCAATTACCATGGTTATCTTAAAGCGCGGTAGTCGTTCGACATTTGTGTTGATAAACATTGATTTTCCCACAATCCAATGCACTCTTCAAATGGAAATCACAAGTATGAGGTTTGACCTGGGCACGACTTGCACTGATTACCGCCGGTGACTCCTTCGATATCTTCCAATCACATGAAAATTATCTAATTAAAGCTTGGAAACGTGTCAGTTCATACTCGTTGATCTGCGCAACAGTCAAAGTCGCCATCTTTGTTTATATGAGTCCCATATATCTCGCGCATGTGTAGCGTGTCGACTACCGCGCTTTAACCTTTTCACCACCATTTTTCTCTTCATCACAAATTCACCAAATAGTTCCGTTCATAGTCTGCAACTTTCCTTCATTGTCACTGAAAATTGAATAAATTTTGTCTCTGTTGGCTCTACAACTGGGGTTCATTTCCTTGAATATTGAAAAAATATAAGGAAAAAAAGTGCAGAAAAATGTCTGGTGGTGAAAAGGCTAATCACTGGAACGGGAAAGTGGATGCGAGGACGATGGAGAATGGAACACTTTTTAGGGGCAAAAGCAAGTGTTGTGGCTCAAGACTCTTGCCATCAATGATGCTTGTAAAGTTTTAATTCACTTTTATCCTGCAGAGGGCCATTGCTGGATAATTTGCAGTTTTCGATAGCGATGCAATATGGATGATTCGCCATCAGTGTGAAAGTAATGCTTTGACTGTAAATAGTCGGCATGATAAAAGTGAATTGCACATAGAAATGAGTAATCTTCCAGTTATGCACAACAGCCTGAGCTAAACACAAACCATAACACACATACTGTTTCCATGATGCATGTGGTTTTGTGATCATCCGTCAATTTTTGCCAAATCACATACCGGTATCATAGATTGTGTGACAGCGTATAACAATCTGTATCCTTTACGACTAGGTTTCTAAGTGCATTGTCAGTGTTAGCTGAAAGACCAGACTTGATCGAGAAAGTGTTGATAACCAAAGAATATACACCAGAAGGTGCTTACCAGTTAAGACTGTGTAAAGATGGTATCTGGCAAACTGTTCTTATAGATGATCTGTTTCCTTGTGATCAAAATGGATTTCTTGTCTATTCTCAGGTATGTCTCAGATATACTAATATTTATGTACAGTTCACATCTTGTGATCTAATAATGGTGACAGTTATTCATAGTGCTATAGCTCTCAGTTTCATGTTAGTTTGCTGTAGTTGTGTTTTTTGATCATCAAAAAGGTTTTACTTGTATCATAGGGTAATCGTGATATGATATACCAGTAGGTATAGTAATTACATATACCAATTACCATACCCGCCCGACAAAATAACAAAATATAATTATTTTTTGATTGGGTCGGCCGTATTAGCCTTCCAATAGTAAGTCATGTTCCAAAACTAATGTGTTACATACATGTTGCTTGAAGGATAATTGACACTGTTTGATTATCTCAAGAAAAGTGGTTAAATGTGGTTTTGTGATGGTTGCCATCTTAAAATAGGATCATAATATGTTAACTGTTTCATAATAATGTTCCACTGGTTTTTGTAACATAATCTTCCAGATTCAGAGCATGGCATTTCATCATTAAACTTTATTGTGTTTTCTGATTTGCATTGGCTCTACGGTACTTGCTAAAATACAGAATGTGGTCTAAGTTAATTTTTTCTGTTTACTAATAATGATTTACCAGTGTGGATTGGCGTTTTTGCATTAATTGATTCACAGGGAGAATGTTGTATACCTATATGTGTGTGTACAGTTTGATGTCTGTCTAACATACTAATTCTAACCCTCTGATACAATGTATAGGCTAAACGAAGACAGCTTTGGGTTCCGTTGATTGAGAAAGCCATGGCTAAAATGCATGGATGTTATGAAGCATTAGTGTCTGGTAGATGTATTGAAGGATTAGCTACATTGACTGGATCGCCGTGTGAGAGTCTACCATTGCATTGTAAGTCTCATACTTGGCCTCTACTAACCAACTCTTTCTATTATCAGGTTATTACGAAGATACTGAAAAGTATGCACGAAGACTGTACAGCGGGAGTATCAACCAACATGCAGCGGAAGTCGATGCGGCCGTGTACTGTCTGAGTGCATACTTTGCGGTATCCTCATAGTAACCTTATAATTGTACGTCTTTTTCTCCCGAGGATAGATCATGTAAATGCCGAAATCCAAAACGTTTAGAACAGATTTAGCGAACTTCTTTGTATGGTGTCCGGTCAATCCCTGCGGGCTGCCACATTTATTTTTATTATTAGAGAACACTTATGAGTGTAATTGCTTCATATTTGGAATTCGCATTTCTTAATATGGTAGGATGAAAATACCTAGTGCAATACCACAAAATAATGGCACACTGTCAGTTAAATGAATAAAAAGAAATAATAAAACCTAGTTCTATACAGTAACATTATGTAAATAGTTGATTGGTTCAGACTGATTTCCTGGTTTTTGCATCAATTTCAAAGTAAACAATTGCTACTCTATTTGTACATTTTGTTTCCCTTTAGCTTCCAGTTTGAACGCCAATGATCCGGTTGTTGATAAAGATCTGATATGGGCTAAATTATTGAGTTCCAAAGAAGCTGGGTAAGTGAAACATATTCTGTCAGTTCAGTTATACTTTCAGTAGGCCATAGATTCATGTAAAGATATGAAAGCAGTTGGTGAAACAAAGGAAAACAACGAAAATTTCTTCAAGCATTTTTAAAGGCTTCATAACAAGTCAAATTGTAAATATGCAGAACATTTAAAACCGCTACATATTCTTCAACGAAAAATTCCATCAAGACTCATAAGTGCATTAATTATTCACTTGGTTTTAATTTTGTTATTTTCGCTGATAAGTAACATCTCCTAAATTATATCTTTGTGAACATGTAAAATAAAAATAAAACTCAGTGTTTCCTTGAAAAAATTGTGAGATTAAAACACAGTGAATATGCTCAAAACATCAAAATAGTGAAATATAAATGTCAGTGAAAATAAATGGTTTACAGCAATTCAAAAACTAGTTTGGATAGCTCAATTTTTCTTTTGGTTTCTAATTTAGCTGTTCACATTGAGAAATTCCTGTGTAAAAAGTGCAAGCCAATCATGGCCAAGATATATTGAGTCAAATTTTCATTAACAACTATGTGCTACACTAAAAAAGTTGGATTTGTTTCGATTAGTTTGTAGCAAGAAATGGGTGCTGTAATTCACAATATAAATCTGGCTTCTGATTACAATTCAAGAGTTCTAATGTCCATATATGGCAATGAAGTGCAATTATATTGATTTCTGTATCACTTCATATTATTTCAGTTTTCTGATGGGTGCGTCATGTGGAGGAGGTAATATGAAAGTAAACAATAAAGATTATCATGATATTGGTTTACGGCCGCGACATGCGTACTCTGTGCTGGATGTGCAGGATATACTAGTATGTGGTCACAGGTAAGAAATTGCTTTAATCACCATTGCTTGTGATGTTTTCTTCGTGCTCTGTTGAATAAGTAGGTCACTGAAAATATGGCTGACGTAAACATGTAGAACTCTACATTTTCCTTATGTTTGTTTGGTCATTATTTCTTACAAAGTCCCTGCAGCAATGTTATTAGAAGTCATAACCAAACTACTATGCATGTATATGCTCTTACATTTAACCATGCACTGTAAGCATGTGAGGATCAGTGAAAGTTGTACGTATAATGAAATTGTTTTTAGAGATTAGCTTATAATTGGTGAATTTCCGTTCACTGCAAAGATTTTGCGTTTTGTGTGAAAAGCCGGAACCGCACATCTGTCACAAAAATTTGAACGATATGGTTTTGAATTTGAATATTGAAATTGCAATCATTGAGAGGGGATCCTTACATTGAGATACCCTTATTTCATCAAAATTGATCCTCGTCAAATGTGTATAGCACATTTTGAGCGATATGGTTTTGAATATTGAAATTGCGATCATTGAGAGGGGATCATTACATTGAGATACCCTTATTTCATCAAAATTGATCCTCGTCAAATGTGTATAGCACATTTTGAGCGATATGGTTTTGAATTTGAATATTGAAATTGCGATCATTGAGAGGGGATCATTAGTCCCCGTTCGGACGGAGTCCGAAAACGGGGACTTATGTTTTGCCCTGTGTGCGTCCGTCCGTCCGTCCGTCCGTCCGTCCGTCCGTCCGTGATCACCTGTATCTCGAACATGCATGGACCGATTATGTTCAAACTTCACTCATATATCACACATTATATGGGACATATGCACATGCATTTTTTTCGTGATTCGATTAACGATAGCCGAATAGCGGCCATTTTAAGGCCGAAAATGCATCAAAATCGCACATTTTCACCATTCCGGACCCGGATCTCAGTTATGCATGGACGGATTTCGTTCAAATTTGGTACATACATTAAACATAATAGGACCTTGATGCACGTCATTTTTTTTTTTCGGATCAAGTTCGAAATGGCCGACTGGCGGCCATTTTGTTTTAAAGAATTCAGTTCTGGATCCGTATCCGAGACATGTCTGGATTGATCAAGTTCAAACTTCACACACACAAGTACATCATGTCACAAATATGTATGTGCATTTGTTTCATGATCCCATTAACGATAGCCAAATGGCAGCCGCTTTAAGCCGAAAATGCATTGAAATCGCACATTTTCACCATTCCGAACCCGGATCTCAGTTATGCATGGACGGATTTCATTCAAATTTGGTACTTACATTAAACATAATAGGACCTTGATGCACATCATTTTTTTTTCCCGGATCAAGTTCAAAATGGCCGACTGGCGGCCATTTTCTTAAAGAATTCAGTTCTGGATCCGTATCCAAGACATGTCTGGATTGATCAAGTTCAAACTTCACACACACATGGTGCATCATGTCACAAATAGATATGTGCATTTGTTTCATGATCCGCTTAACAATAGCTGAATGATGGCCATTTTAAGACCGAAAATGCATTAAAATCACGTATTTTCACAATTCCGGAACCAGATCTCAGTCATGCATGGATGGATTTTGTTCAGATTTAGTACAATGTGTTGTACATATGCAGGTGCATTTCGGTCATGATCTGCTTTGAATGTATATGTCACTCAAATATGAACGGAACGGGGACGTGTCATTGACAATGACTTGTTACATTGAGATACCCTTATTTCATCAAAATTGATCCTCGTCAAATGTGTATAGCACATTTTGAGCGATATGGTTTTGAATATTGAAATTGCGATCATTGAGAGGGGATCATTACATTGAGATACCCTTATTTCATCAAAATTGATCCTCGTCAAATGTGTATAGCACATTTTGAGCGATATGGTTTTGAATTTGAATATCGAAATTGCGATCATTGAGAGATGATCATTACATTGAGATACCCTTATTTCATCAAAATTGATCCTCGTCAAATGTGTATAGCACATTTTGAGCGATATGGTTTTGAATATTGAAATTGCGATCATTGAGAGGAGATCATTACATTGAGATACCCTTATTTCATCAAAATTGATCCTCGTCAAATGTGTATAGCACATTTTGAGCGATATGGTTTTGAATATTGAAATTGCGATCATTGAGAGGAGATCATTACATTGAGATACCCTTATTTCATCAAAATTGATCCTCGTCAAATGTGTATAGCACATTTTGAGCGATATGGTTTTGAATTTGAATATTGACATTGCGATCATTGAGAGGGGATCATTACATTGAGATACCCTTATTTCATCAAAATTGATCCTCGTCAAATATGTATAGCACATTATGAATACCCCAAAAATATTTTCATGTTAACCTTTTCACCACCAGTTTGCATCACAAATTTAAATTTAATTTATCATGAGATTGGAACAAAAACATCTAAATCTTTTGAGTGAAAATTGGAAATTGACAATTTTGTTCGTTATTAAGGAATATAAGAAAAAAGTACAGAATAATTTTGGCAAGAGTGGTGATGAAAAGGTTAATGCAGGATCTTGCAGTGAACCTATCTAAAGGACACATATAATATTCTAAATGTAACGATTATTTCATTCTCACCATGTGTTACTGGTTTTGTTAAGTATTTTTTCATTGGAATTTCCACTCTAGTGCAGTGCTGTGTCAATTATCACTGGGAATTTGTTAGTATTAAAACTTGTCTATATTTGGTACATTTTTATTTAGACGTTATCTTTACTGGGATCAAACAGCTATATCAATATTTAGCCAGTATTTAATTTCTTCTCCAAGTTTTGTCTTTATCACATTTGATATGCACTGGTTCTCCACAAACGCCTGATTTGAACAGACAGACATTGTGACTGGCATGATATGATGTTTCTCTGTGGTGTTGATAAGGGGACAGGGATGGGTGTGGGGGTTATAACAGTCGCACCTCACACCTTAACCTGTCAACTATATCAGCATTTACATATACCACCAGTGCCACAGTCTGTTGAACTAATTGAAAAAAAACAAACAAACATTTTAGAGCATCTCAATCAGTGTGCAAGGCATGATCAAATTTCATGTAAACAGACAATGTATTTTGCATATGCATGTTTGTCGCATGGGACACCTGTCAAACACAGCTACAGTAGCATAATAAGATCCTCTGAAATTCCAAGTAATTAAATTCATCCAGTTCAATCAAAGAATCAACTATCAATGCATTTCAGATGCATATCCACCAGCTTGGCTAGTGAAAAGTCTAGGACCATTAATTATTCTTGTGTTTTTAATTTCGTGAGCAAGCAAACATCGGGAAATATTTGAAAGCTGCACATATAAGGTCAGAAAGCTGGGATTCATTCATGTGATGCATCGTTTTTTTTTGTTTCATTCTGGTTAATTTGATGTAGAACAGCAAAATAATACCAACAAAATTATACCGCATACAAAATCATAAAATTTATTCTACATAGATTTGCTACAAGCTACTAGTACTTATTAGTACTTATTATCATATATTATTGGATCATATCAACCTTTTCGTTGACTCTGTGTCTAATGATGTCTAAATAGTTATTATCAACACGTTTATTTTGTGTTCTTTAAAGGGCTATGGTTTGGCAGTCATATCGTTTCAGATTATGTGTAAATGAATTCATGTTTGCTACACATGCATATGAACACATAAGATCACATAAGATGCCACCTTCTTTTAACAACAGTTTGCTTTAAGTGAATTGAAATTTAGTATACTGTTGGTGATTCGAATTCCCATATTATGCAATAACTTTCTTTCTATACACTAATACAGATTGATCAGATTAAGGAATCCTTGGGGCACTTATTCATGGAAAGGAGATTGGTCTGATGAGTCTCCATTGTGGACGCCGGATTTACGAGATGCCTTGATGGTACACGGAGCTGCAGAAGGAGTATTTTGGATGTCGCTGGACGACATGATGAAGTAAGGAACCTTCACAATTCAACCAATCAAATCACTATAGCAACCTGTTATTAATCCCAATAATAGAATTATATAATCTTAATTAGGTTCCAATTTGAAATTCAAGTTTACTCCGATACTTTATTTCAGTTACTTTGATTGCATAGACATCTGTAAAGCCAGAACTGATTGGTCAGAAGCCAGGTTGTCTGGTGTGTTTCCAGACTATGCTGGTGGTCCATTACAGGTTACTATGTTACAAGTAAATGAACCCACAGAGGTTGATTTAGGACTTTTTCAGGAAACTGAGAGGTGAGAATAACTGTGCATGAACATAATCCTGACACTTTTTGTTTCTATGATTGCAATACTGTAGAATACTTTATTTTCGCTTGGAATTAATTTTCGCTATTTTCGCTGAAGTAATGATTCAGTGAAAATAAAATCCAGCGAATATACCTTTTTTCCTATATTTTACATTCAACTTGTCAAAAATCAGTGAAAATAAATTCCATACAAAACACTCAAAAAGTCTTTTCAGCGAAAATTAATTCCAGCTAAAATAAAGTATATCACAGTATTTTCGCTTGGAATTAACTTTTGCCGTTTTCGCTGAAGGAATGATTCAGTGAAAATAAAAACCAGTGAGTATACCTTTTTTTCTATATTTTACATTCAACTTGTCAAAAATCAGTGAAAATAATTTCTATACAAAAAATATGATCATGATACATGATCAAAATATGTATGGAACATGTAAGCTAAAAAAAAGATGATATATGTATAAGTAGATTTCTGTTTTGCCAGAAGGTAGGTCCAATGTAGGACCCATTGTAGAACATGTGCCTGCCTGTACATAAATTCTCATTGGTCCTAATTGTGTTATTTATGGTAAAATATTTGACTTGTGCCATCAGAGGTTCCGCAAAGAATGCCCGTAGTCCGCTGGATCTAATGATAACAGTGTTAAAGACCTCACAGATGTCCACCAGCGGCATGTATAAAGTAGCTGCATATTGCCGAAGACAAGTCAAGGGATTTGTTGGTTGTGATGCAATGCTGGAACCAGGCTTGTATGTTATTGTGTGTGCTGCATTTAATCATTGGACCACTGGTGTGGATATGCAAGGTAATGTTTAAACATTCATTTAACCTGGGTGTGGTTCAGTGATTAGCCTCACACCAGAGAGACTGAGAATCCCTCAGTCACTCAGCAGTAAAAATTAGGTTAAATTCTCCCCAGATCACCAAACATGCAGTGTTAGGTTTGACAGGGGGTTTACTATAAAAAATTAACAAGAGGGAGCACACACAGGCGATTGACCTGGAAACACCATATACGAAGGTTTCTGTGCCGTGTAAATATAGCCATTGAAATATTTTTGGAGTAATTTTAGTGTATTTGGTGTCTAGACACATTGTCAGCTTGTGTTGCTGGGAAGTTTTCACAGAGAAAGTTATATTTGAGAAAGATTTCATGTTGTACGGTAGCACAGAAGTACGCGGCTCAAGAAATATATTTATGACTTGAAAGCTCAATCAGCGATTCGGTAAGAGGGCGCCAGCCGAGAGTATCAGTGCGCTGCACCCCTGTTCCCCAGTTTAGAAAAACCCCTGGTTTGAAATTGATGAGATTGATGTATAAAACTGCTGTGTGTTATTGCTGTCATCAATGTATGTAGCAGCAGTCTCTAGTCTGTAAACACAGATTTACATTTGATTTTTTGTTGATTATTTGGGGTTATTTTTACTCATTTACTCATGATTTTCATTAAAAAACGGGACAGATCTGTAGCAATTGTGCCCATCAAATGTAATTTTGTAACTGTCTAAAATGTGGAGTGCCTGCCTAGAATCTAAATGTAAACAGGTGGCTGGCTAAAATCCTGGCAAAAACCCTGTCACTGTCATTGTGAATACTGTTAGTAGAATTTAAACAAGTTGAGGTCTCCCTCTTTCATGTAAGCCTTTGTGAGAACTTCCAGATCTGTATTTTGGCTCTCTTTCCATAGATCTGCGTAATAAAGTTATTATGAGGATACCCCAAAGAAGACAGTACAGGGCCGCATTGATCTTAGCTACGTCTATCAATACTCTCTCAATACTTTGTCTTCATGTATGTTTTAAGGTGTCTTAATTAAAGGAGTCAGAATATAAAATATGCTTTTTCCTATCTACACAACAGTACTAGCATATGGACTGTATTAGAAGTGTATAAGAGATCAATGTAAGACAAAATGTGTGTTTTGGGTGTATTGCACCAAGCTGAAATTTCTGAACTGGGACAAGGTGGCACAAATTAGTGGAACAACATCCCTACCATCTTATAAAAATATTACATATTTATTTGCATTTCCAAATAAGGTAGGATGCAAACACCCTGTGCAATACTGCAAAATTACAACATTCTATAACTTAGAGAAATACAGTGACAGATGTCTAATAATAATAGAGACTCCCAATTGGGCATATACTTCAGAGAGTTCACAGAAAAGGCACAAAAAAGGCCAACGTGTTAATTATGACTTGATAACTTCATTAAATTGATTTTCAGGTACAAAGAGTCCAGTACGGAAAACGCATTTACCAAGTTACACCTTAACCATACATAGTTCCAAACCAATCATGCTGTCTCAGACCTCACCAACTATGACGTGTCTCGCAGACTCTGTCATTCAAGTCGCTGTTCATGCGGGAAAACGACATGAGGTTAGTTAATACGTGTCGCCATTGTTAGTGTAATATTATATTTCAATCTTGGAGTACCATAATTGTTCTATTAAAAGAGCATCTTCAATAGAAAGCACGTATAAAAAAAAAAATTTGTAAAATCTGAATTATTTTGACTATAGAAATGCCTATAGAAATTGTTATTTACACAATTGCAAAATACTGATAGAGCAAATAGGATATAGATGCTGTGTCAGTCAGGGGATTTGCATACACATAAATGTTATATGCTGTATTTGCAGCGCATGTGCTTACATGAATGACAGATGCATGTCTATGAGTAAAATAAGTTATTTTAAAATGATAATGCATACAGTAAATGCAATTTTTAGTTCATGTGCACTTCTGTTAGCGATGTGCTTTTAATGTAAATATTGTACATGTATATATAAGAAATGAAAAATGTACTTGCGTTCTTTGACGTACATCTTTAACAAGACACATGTGAACCCAAACTGTTTTAACAAACACCATTTTATTGTCCTCTGTCAGAGATAAATACAAAATGTACTCCAGAAAAATCAACACTCTCATCACCATTTTCGTTATGCTAATGAGTATTGAATATTCATAAAATTGTCTATGACAAGTCATTCCTGCCTCAAAAAATTAAGGAAAGTCTAAATAGAGAATGAAGCAGTAACGGCAAAGGGAGGTTCACCTCCTTCAATTTGCCTTTATTTATGCTAGACTAATAAATACATCTTGTAAGTGTGTGTGTATCAATCCAATATATTACAATATATTATTTGCACAAACATCAATACTCAGGCTGCAATATTTTAATTTAGATAACATGCCCCTCAGAGGATATGGAATGAATTTTAAACTTCAGAAATAATCACATCACAAAATTAATATTTTTATACCTCTCATTTCAGGCTCGTGAAGGTGTCACATGTTACTATTTAGATCATGGTTGGGCAGGTTTGATTGTCGTCGTTGAAAACCGCCATCAAGACCGCTCATTGCACATCAAGTGCGATTGTACTAATAGTTTCAATGTGGTGTCCAGCAGGGGATGTTTGGTGACAACCGACAGTGTACCGCCATTACACAGGTAACTTAAATGTACACGAATCTCTGGCAATGGCAGCATGGTGCCTTTTTTCTGTGCGTGTGGATGGCTGTTGATTTTTATTCTCAGCACAGTTTAATATTCCAGGTTGACTCCTTTCACCAAGCACACCAAACACAGCATTCCATTTAAATTACTACCCAGTATATAAACTTAAAGATAAAAATATAATACAAATAATGATATTTATAAACTTATAATATCTTCCAGTGAAGATAAAAGGGGTCATACACAAACAAGAAAAAATCACAGAGGTGTGTCTGTGGTTAAAATAAGTCCTATTCCTAATGATTCAGTCTGATTACATTTTTGGTTTATATGCGCTTCTGTTAGAGATGCACTTTCAATAGAAAAAATATGGTAGGTGTAATTGTGACAAACGAATAGTCTTTCATTAAATTCATGTCAGATCTCATTTTACTTTTAGTTTCAGTTTCTGTAAAAGCTGTTTTCTTTTCTTTTTTTTCAGGCAAGTGTTAAATGTTTTAAGTCAGCTGGAAGGCAGTGGTTTTACCATTGTACATCGGATTACACACAGAATGTCCTCTCAAGACACTCTTGATAACTGGGGAGCAGGACAGTCACATATACCGTACATATCACAGGATGTATTTGGACTACATTCAGTCAGGCCTTTATAATCTGGTGTTTTATCTTTTGGAACCTAATTATCATATTTATATTTTACTAAACCATGTTGTGAATTAATTAGCATTTTAATCTTTATCACTATCAGTCTTTGTTGCCCAAATTTTGCTGCACTTTTGGAACCAACATACCGTAAAAAATTTCAGTCAATTTTCAGTTTTTACTCAAAAGAAATCTGGCTATTTTTGTTTCAATATTCTGAAGCGAAGTGCAGACTATAAACAGGATTATTTTGTGAATTTTTGATGAAAAGGAGGAAATGGTGTTGAAAAGGTTAATGGATGCATAACATGCTTGATATTTGCTCTATTACCGTAAAATCTGTATTAGAAGCTGCATCTCTATTGGAAGCCACACATATTCTTTTTGAACAATTGAGAACCAAATATTCATCATTTCTCATATATGTAGATGCTCTAATAGAAGCCACATCTCCTCTGTTACATTGTATCATTTTAATAAAAGCCACAGCTTCTAGTGAAGATTTTACAGTAATAGCACATGGGTAATTATAGAGGGGAGGCAAGGGGGGTAACTGGTACAGTTTTATGGGAAATAAAAAGGTTTTTTTACAATTTACAAAGGAAAAAAAACGTTTTTACAGTTTACAATGTTAAAAATGGAACATTGAATGGTCCAAAGAACTCTCGAACTCAAATTCTCCCCCATTACTGCGCCGTGTGTAGAGGCGCATGCGCATATTACCTTCGTAATGCTCTTCATTCGGTTAGAGGGCCTTTTACGTCTTAACATTCAATTTTGTAGTGAATTGTATCATCTAGTCGTTTTACAGTTTCTAAAATGTAATTTCCCTGGATTATTTTTTATGATTTTTTTATTAGGATGTAAATTCTTGTACGTACCGAGAAAAATGACACATTTTTACATTGTACGAAAAAAATTATTCATTGATTGCATTGTACGTCTAGCCGGTGATTACAGAATTACGGAATTTATTTTTTCTATTTACGTTGTACGAATAAAAAAATATTGCAATTACGTTGAACGAAAATAACCCTTGCCCCCCCCTATTATAGACGTCTATAGTCAAAGTAAGTTTTAGTAAAAGTTTAATCCTTGATGTATATTCCCATCTAGTAGAGATGTGCAATAAGGTAAGATAAAATCATTAAAGAAAAAGGAGATTCAACAAAAATACAAAAACCTTGGCAGTGTTCCGATATGCAGTCAATAGCCATAGTGTATGGCTATAGTCAAAGGATATCATTGGAATTAACGTATGTGAAATTGCAAACACTAAAAACACTAACTTGTGTTGAAAAAAGCAATGATTATGCGGATAATCACAGTGACACTGTTGATGTCTTTACTGCCTTGTTTTATTAACTAGAATTTATTTATCTCAGAGACTCATTACAACCTTACTATCTATAAAACAATCTACCAGATCCCACAATTCAATTCTATAATCAATATCATTCACATGAATTAGCATTGTAATTGTATATACAAATATGTTTTTAAAAAAAACAGCACTGTATTTATTAAATAATAATATAAAACAGAATCCTCCTCAAATATTTACTGAAATTTTCTCTCAGTATCGCCTGGTTAGAAGAAAAGCACATGGATATTTTGTCGCAAATTTGTGACAATTGTATTGTTTAATACTTTCCTCTCATATCTCATTGTGTAGCTCATGATTGTGGGTTTGAAACATTTCCATAATTCAGTTTTATTTTATTAATATTTGAAAGAAAGATTGCATTATGTGACATCAGAAAAATTTAAAATCACTTAGAAATCTGTGTACAATTATTTTCTTAAAACACCAAGTCCAAGCCAACTTTTGGTCATGCTTCATAATAAAATAAAATCCACATAATTTATTTTATTTCTTTACTTCCAAACAAATTCCGATCTAGACGTGTAGCGAATAATAAATTATGTCCATTTGGGTGTAAAATTCAAGAAATATTGTAGAAAAATAAGCCAAAATTTACACCAAATTGTTGGTGGGTACAATTATAGTATGCAGAGTTACACTCAGAGATTATAGAAATCTATTAGAAATAGATTCAATTGTTTGTTGGCACAAAATTTGACTGTTGGTGCTTCAATAGTTAATTGTTAACCATCAAGAGGTTTTGGATATTTCGTAAGATCTAATAATATTGCAGCTGGTTGTGTAAGCAATTGCAGCAGTGAATTCCCCAAGTTGGACTAAACATTTTGATTTCCAGACATGCTGGTATTGAAAGCTGGTTGTTCCCAACCCAGATTGAGGCAGTGGGTGACAATATGTTTTCCTGTTAAAGCATTAATTTCAAAATATTTAATTATTTTCTTCATACCATAATTTCAACAATGAGATTTTAAAGTAGCTCTTCTTGATGTCGTCGTCGTCGTCGTCTGACCACCTAAATTATAAATTGACTTCATCAGCTTTCCGTTACTTTGATATTTTGCCACTTGTTTCCTGTACTGCTGGGTGTTGTATCTTCTAATAACAGTTGACTATTTTGTTTTGCAGTTAGATTAGTTTTTGACTCCCGTGTGCGAAGCACAAAAAGGGAGTCTTTGCAATTAGTGTGTCTGTATGTGTGTATGTGTGTGTGTATGTGTGTCCGTCTGTTCCACTGATATCTCAAGAACCATACATCAGTTTTTGATGAAACTTGGTGCATAGATGCTCTGGGCCAATGCGCAGATTTGATTAGGTTTTGGTAAAAATCCATGCATATTAATTACCTAATTTGCATGATAATTAGCTGATTTTTAGCTGTTTCATGACTTTTCAACTGATATCTAAAGAACCACTCATTGGATTTTGATGAAACTTGGCACACAGATGCTCCAAACTAATGCGCAGATTTGATTAGCTTTGGGTAAAAATCTG